ATGGAAATAGGGTAGGTGTGTAAGGTACAGCAGTTCCCTGAAGATTTTTTTCCTTTTCTTTTAAGACATATTTTATTTGCATGTATGTGACTACAGGTGACCACAGAGGACAGAAGAGGGCATCGGATCCCTGAGCTGGAGTTACAGGTTATGAGCCTTCCCTGATGGGTGTGGGGAACCAGACTGGGGTCCTCTACCAGAGTTCTTAACTGCTGAGCCATCTCTGCAGCCCTCCTTTTCTTTGAAAAATAAAAAAGGAAAGAGAGAGAGAGAGAGAGAGAGAGAGAGAGAGAGAGGGAGGGAGGGAGGGAGGGAGGGAGGGAGGGAGGGAGGGAGGGAGAGAGATTACATTTTTAAGAAGACAAGGTCCTCTACCAGAGTTCTTAACTGCTGAGCCATCTCTGCAGCCCTCCTTTTCTTTGAAAAATAAAAAAGGAAAGAGAGAGAGAGAGAGAGAGAGAGAGAGAGAGAGAGAGAGAGAGGGAGGGAGGGAGGGAGGGAGGGAGGGAGGGAGGGAGGGAGGGAGGGAGGGAGGGAGAGAGATTACATTTTTAAGAAGACAAGGTTCAACAGTGAAGGAATGGTTTATTTCAAAATAAACCTGGGTGACCCCATAGGGAAGGTGGGACAGTGAAAACCTGGGGGCTAAGGAGGTGGGAGAGTGAACTGAACCTCTCTCACAGGCTGTGGGTTTTCTCAGAGCTGGGGAAGGGCCTGAGGTCTACTTTGACCTGATAGTGCTAAGGGTTAAACCAGGATGTCGGGAATGGTGTTAGAGTGTTGACTTGGGAAACAGAAAGTGTAGCCACAGGGAGGAGGAGGCTGTTCTGTCTGCAGTGTCCACACAGGAGGGGAGGGGGCTGGGATGGGCTTGCCTCCCTGTGGTGGTCTTGTTGACTCAGCGTCCATTTGTTTGTTTCTGTGCGTGCGCACGCTGGGCCCGTGTGTCCCAAGGCGTGTATAGAGGGCAGAGGACAACCTGAGGGAATTCTTCCTTCTGTCGTGTGGGCTCCGGGTCATCAGGCTTGACAGCAAGCTTCTTTACCACCTGAACCACCTCACCGGCCTTTTTTCTTCTTTGTATCTTTACTTCTGTTTCTCTGTGCTGCTCTAGTTAGTTTTGTACTACTGTGATACAACGCCATGACCAAAAGCAAATTGGGGAGGAAGGAATTTACTTCGTCTTACACCTCCCAAGTCATCTGTCACAGAGGTAAGCCAGGGAAGAAGAGAACATGAAGGAGCACCACTGATCGGTGTTCCCTTGGTTTGCTCAGCCGCCTTCCTTATACAACCAAGGCCCCCCTGCCTAGGGATGACACTGCTCACAGTGGGCGGGGCCCTCTCTATCAATTAGCTGTCAAGAAAATGCCCACAGCCATGCCCATAGGCCAGTCTGATGGAGTCAATTCTTCAGTGAGATTCTGTCTTCCCAGGTATGTCTAGGTTTGAGTCAAGTTGACAAAATCTAACTACGACATGTGTGTTGTTTCCTGTGTGTCTAGGTGTGTGTGAGTGTCATCGCCTGTGTGTGCACACTGAAGTTCACGTGTTCTTCTCTGTCCCTCTCCATCTTATTCCTTGAGACAGGGTCTCTCACGGGGTCCGAGGGTCACCCATTGGCCAGACTCCAGGAACCTGTCTGTCTTGTGTCCCCCTCCCCCATTTGGGAGCTTGCAGACATAAGCCACGTACTCAGCCTTTTATATGTGCCTTAGGGACCCAAACTGAGTACATGAGTCATCTCCCCAGTCTGTGGGAACCAGAAGAGAGAAGTGGCTGGTAGGGAATGAGGCTGGACATGTGATTCAAGGAGATTCAGAGTAAGAAAAACATGGTTGTAATTGGGCATCACCAAGATTAAAGTGAAACTCAAGACTTACATGAGGTTTAAGGGAGAGTTTAGCTGTTATCAGTATAGCTGGTAGAAAATTACAAAAATACACGTACTTTCCAGGATCTACCTCTCTCACACAAGCATCTAAGACTGTAGCTGTTCTTTTTATATTTATAATTTTTTATTTTTATTTTATGTGCATTGGTGTTTTGCCTGCATGTATGTCTGTATGAGGGTGTCAGATCTTGGAGTTACAGACAGTTGTGAGCTGTCATGTGGGTGCTGGGAATTGAACCTGGTCCTCTGGAAGAGCAGTGTTCTTAACTGCTGAGCCATCTCTCCAGCCCCCAACTTCTGCTGTTTTTATGCCACCTGTGGATGAGAAGACCAAGGTACTTGCCCAAGGTCACACCCTGTTGGACACGGGTGTGTGGCTGGGCACAAAGTGTGAAGTCAGACAATCTATAAGTGCCAATTTGTCCCAGCATCTTAAGGAAGCACTACCTGTTCAAACATCTTCAGCTTCCCCATCAGCAAACAGAAGGGATGGCTTGTAAGTCACAGGGCTATGGTACCCTAGTAAGGCAATGCACATGTAAAGTACCAGGCCAGTGCTAAGCTCACTGACAAACCCCAGCAAATACTCTTAGGCTGGTGAGTGGCTAGAGTAAGTTTAGAATCCAAGTGAGATTCTCTCTCCTGCCAGAGATTTGGATTCCCTGATGCACTTGAGTTTTCAGAAATGTTTTGTGTGGCTAGCTAAGGATCGCAATAGGTAGCCCTACCCCCTTAAGCTCTATTGACCATGTGAGTTGAGAGTTTGTGATTTTGTTTTAGGGTTTTTGTTTTTTGGGATTTTTTTTGCAGTTTTTTGTCTTGTTATGTTTCTCAGCAGATAATCCTCAGTGCCTCCAAAGCAGTGCCTGGGTGGTCCTTTCCAGTGTGAATAGCCAACCTAAATCATCACATCCCTAGCCCACAGTCAGTCCCCACCCCACCTCAAATAGGCTGCCTTCTCGGGAAAGACCAAATGTGTAGGAGGTTAAGTTGAAGATTCTGAAAGGCAAGGGAAAAATCGCCCACACCCTGTATAAAACTCAGCAAAGAGCTTGAGCAGGCTGTTCCCCTCCCCCTGTCACTAATCACTAGAGAAATGCAAATAAGGCTACAGTGAGTCATTGCTCCACACCATCCAGCAGGCATGGGGAGCGAGGTGGAGAGAGCTGGGCCTCTCGGGCACTGCCAATGGGCAGTAAAAACGGCAAGGCCACCAGGAAGACCGAAGGGCGAGTCCACAAAAGGAATGAACAAATCAAGAGAGGATTGGCATGCGATCCAGATTCTACTTCCGGAATACACCTTAAAGAACCGCAAGAAGGGACTTTGAACATGTATCTGTATGTCAACAGCGTTAGTCACAACAGCCCGAAGGTGATGACAACTCAAGTGCCCATCAGACACATGAATAAAGCGCACAATGTGTGTGTAAAAAGCGCACAATGAAATAGTATTCAGCCACAGAAAGGAAGGAGATCCTGAAGCAGGTAGCATGGATGGGGGTGAAGTTTGTGGACACTGAGTGAAATGAACCAGGCACCCAAGACAGATGCTGAGAGGGAACTTTCTCCAGTGATCTAGAGTGACCAGACTTATACAGACAGAAACCAGCAGGCAGATGTGGGGAGTGGGGTGGGGTGGGGGTACATGGGAGAGGAGGCATTACTGCTGCTACAGGCAGGTGGGGGACATAACCTCCCCAGGCCAGGCGCACAAGGCAGGGAACTAGGCACACCTGGAGGGCTGGGAACTGGGAGCTGGCTGATTCATATTGCATTCCCATTCTGCAGTCTGTGGTCCTGCTCGTTAGGGAGGCTTGCTCTGTGCAGAGGATGGGAGAGGTCAGGCAGTCACCACATTGCATATTTCCAGAGTGGCCAGTGGGTGTCTTGGGTGGTTGCTCTGCTGGAGAAGAAGGTGCCGAGGGAATGACTGGGCCAGAGAGGGCCCTGGTCCAAAGCGGAGGCTGCTCTCCAAATGGGTCAGCTAGAACAGCTTAATAAGGAGTCTGTTTCTCACCGGATGCGCTGCACCAAGGGAACCAAGAAAAGGATCCCGTGCCAGGAACTGTGCCCATTGCTAGCACAAAGCCATGATCACTGGTAAAGACATTCAGACTTCTCCTCCTGCCAGGGCCTCCCACCAGCCAAGTTACCCAAGTGAAGGCCACCAGACCAGACTCTACCACCAGAGCAGTGGAAAAGGCAGGCAAGGAAGCCAGAAAGGCACGGGAGGGCTTTCCAGAGGGAATCAAAATGAAACTATCTGCAATGGCCTGACTGGACTGAGGAGAACCCTCCCATGAGAAATTCCTTGGCTGATCTGTACTATGGGTGGGAAGGTGCCTGAGGGGAACCCCTGCTCAGTGGCTGGGAGAACACTGACCTGCAGCCCGAACTACTTATCTGTGTTGTTATGTGCGTCTGGTCATTCATTCATTCATTCATTCATTCAGCATCTGTCAGTTACTAAGTGCCCAGCCAATGCTAGGAGGTGCTAGGTGAAAAACGGTGGAGCCACCTGTAGCTTTGATTTGCTTAGTATGGGGCAACCATGGGTTCAACCCACCTGCTCCATGAATCTGCAGGCTGCTCTCAGTTAGGTCCTCTGTAAAAGGCGATTAATCGTCTTCCCCTATTCCCAGGTATTATGAGGTAGGGCACAGGACCAGGTGTGAATGCAGCCCACCATGGATGGGTTAGGGGTTCGCTACCTACTCAGTACCCCTACTTTCGTTCACATTCACAACCCTTTGCAGGGGCGCGAGGGCATTTTTGTAGTTTTTCTCTCCAACTCACAGACAGTGAACCCAGGAGACCTAGTCACCACTCCTTCCTCCCTGAATCCCTAGAGCTGGGGGTGGGCGACCACCCTGAGCCCATTTCAGAGATGGAGAGCCTGAGCAGGCTGCTTGGATGCCTGGGATTAGAGTCGCAAGGCCCGGGAGCAGGGGGCGGGGCTCGCCGTCCCGCCGGGCGCGGGGACAAAGGCCCGCGGGCGGACGTGGCCCGGCCCGGCCGGGCGGGCCCTTTAAGCGGGGTGGGCGGGCGGCGCGGGGGCGGGCAGGGGCGGGGCGCGGAGGGCGGCGGCGGCGGCGGCGGCGGCGGCAGAGGCTAGTGCTCGGCGGCTCCGATCGCGTTGGCCTGGCCTGGCCCGCACGGCGCTGGGCGCAGAGAACGGCCATGCCGCCGCGGCGCAGCATCGTGGAGGTGAAGGTGCTGGACGTGCAGAAGCGGCGCGTGCCCAACAAGCATTATGTGAGTCTGCGCCCACGCCACGCGGCGACCCCAGCCCCGCGCAGAACTTGTGCCCTGCGCCCTTCCTGCTGTCTGTCTCACCATGCGCCCCTAGTCCCCGCGCCCTCCCCGCCATCTCCCCGCGCGCTCCCGGCCCCCCCGCGCCCTCCCCGCCTGCCCACCCGTGCAAAAGTCTGGCCCCAGCCGCTGCTGGAGATTCAGACAGAAACCAGAAGAGAGACCCACGGAGGCGCGGTTTCAGGCCACCCTCCTGTCCAGAGGCGCCCAGCCTCGTGGGGCCAGCCAGTCAAGCCCCTAGTCCTTCTGGGCATAGGTCATCTGAGTGCCCCTCTCCAGTAACTTCCGTTAACCATGTGGGAAAGTTTCCCCGGGAGTAACCCCCCTCTGTGAAATGAGAATTTTGTTTGGAGCTGGCGAGGGATGGAGGAAATGGGTTCCCGGTGTCATTTTGCAGATGGGAAGGCTGAGGGCTCTGGAACATGGACAGTGAACCTGGGGCCCATGGTGACCCGCAGGTGGTAAGTGGCCTCCGGGACTGCTTAGGGACCTTGTCTGTGCTTGAGGTAGCCCAGGTTTCACCTCAGAGGTTCTGGGTAGTGAATCTAGAGGAGGCCCTGGGGACCTCACTCGAAGAGTGAAGGGGGATAGTGTCCCCGCCTGGAAGAAGCTGGCTGTAGCAGCCCTGGAGAAGTTAACCAGGAAGGAAAAAAGCAAGAGGGAGGGAAAAAAAATCCTAACAAAGAAGTGTGGAACAATGACTAGAAAAGGGCGTTGGCTGGAGAAAGGCTGGCCTGGGGCCTCCCTGGAAGCCCCTTTTGGATCTATTTGTTTAAGAGAGTCATTCTTATAAAGCAGACAGATATACATGCCTTCCATGAGTCGCCCATAAAATTCTGGAAGGAGATGGCCGGGAATCCACCGCACTCTTCAAGAAAGGGTGTGCTGTGTTCCCGTGTATTGTTATTGGCTAGGCATTCAGTTACTCAGTCCTGGGCCAGCCAGTGGGGGCTGCTTCCTGGACCTGTGGTATCTTTAAATAGAGCTAAGTTTTCCTTACTTCAGAGCTCAGCTAAATTATCTTGGTTTCCCCACACCCCACCCCCTTTTTTCCCCTTAACTGTTTAAAATGCTGCCAAATCTTGGTTTCTTGTGGGAGCCTGTTGAGTTGCCTCTTGGGTATGGGACAGTTTTCAGTAACACACCAACTGGAGGAAGTCTGGAATTCTTTGTGCCGCCTGCCCCCAGATCTGTGAGCCCGCCAGATCTGTGAGCCCACCACACCAGAATAGCTACAGCCACCACTCTCTCTTGCTCTGCCACACACCGTTAGTGGTGGCTTTCTCAAGTCCATTGCAGAGCAAGTGTAAGTTCAGGCCTGTAGGACCAAAACAGTTGTGCCACACCTCTTCTTAGACCCCTCTCAAAACCTGGGAATCCACTTAGGCCCATGCTTCCCTGCCAGCGCTTGGGTGCCCTTGAACTTCCAACAAGCCGTTAGAGACCCACTGAGCCAGGTCTGTGTAGCAGCATAGCTTGGAGCTCAGCTCTTGGACTCCCCAGTTGCTATCACTTCTTGGAGTCTCCGGGTCCTCATATGAAAGATGGAGTGATGACACCCACTCCCAGTGGGAGCAGTCATATGACCGGCATGGAGCTCCTTAATTGTGGCCCGGTGGTGTCCATGTCTCTCTGATTGGAAACGTGTTGAAGTCATGCTGAAGCTTGTTCCGAGAACTTCTTCCTCTGACTGTGGGTTTAGTCACTGCTGTGACAAGGGGCTTTCTCCCTGCCGCCCAGCCTTCGATTCCCCCGGTGAGGAAGGGGGTAGGGATGTGTGCACCCTGAGTCACCCAGAGGAGCAGATAATGTGGAACTATGGTGGCGGGGTCACAAAGCCAACGGCAGCCGACTGGAGTGTGCCACCTGCACCCCAGCTCCAAACCCTGCAAGCAGTGGGTCTGGAAACAGGCGTTGGCAGCCTGGCTGAAGTAACCTTGTTCTGCCCTCCACACAGCAGTTCTCCTTTCTCTTCTCCTTTCTCCAGTTGTGCTGGGGACCATCTTAGTCTGTTTTTCATTGTATCGCCAAGTGCCTGACGTGTGGTGCTTTGTGAGAGGAAGAGGTTTATGTAGCTGCCTGGGAAGCTGGAAGTCCAAGATTGGGCTGCCTCATCAGTTTGGCCCCTGGACTTCTTGGCTGCATCCAGAGTTGCAGGTGACATCATGGTGGGAGCATGTGTAGAGAGAAAGATTGTATGGTGACACTAGAAGCCAGAAAGTTGAGGAAGGAGCCATTTTGCTCCTTTGTAACAACAAGCCCTTTGGGAACTGAGGTCCCAGGAGAACTACCTTAATCTGTTTTTAAGGCCATGCACCCAATGACCTAACTACCTCTCCCTAGGCTCCGCCCCTTAGGTCCTACTGTTTCTCATGCTACCACACTGGGGACTAGGCTTCTAACACAAAACTCTTGGACATGGACAGACCATATCCAGACCCTAACGGGGACACCGTGTACTCCTGCCCCTGTCACAGCACCACAGTGCAATGTGCACATCGGTTTGGAGTGCCCTGGCTGCTGTGTTGTCCCTCTGATTCCATGCCTGGTATGGACCCAGTCCTCTGAGGCTACAGTTAGACAGCAATGCCTAGGACTCAGGACCAAGTCTCCTGCTCTATATCTCCATATCAGAGTAGCAGTCACTGCGTGTAGTCTCTCCTGTGCCTGTCCCACTCAGAATCTGGGCTTCAGAATGAATATGAAGGGAGCATCTCAGAGTGGATACTGGGGCCCCCTTCCCTAACTGGGGTGTCTTCTAGCAACCTCTGGGGATATTGTTGGGATCCTCTCCCATGTGCTGATAAAGGGCACACAGGATCAAGGGCACAGGAGGGTCCCCAAGCACAGCAGTGCTGACCAGCCCTGGATGGAGCCCTGGGTGCGGGTTTCATTGTCATGATAGCTCTTTGGGGGTGGTAGACTCCTGTCCTGTGACTTCTTCAGTGTTGCAGAGGCACAGCGAGAGCAAAGCCCACCCCATCCATAGACCCCTGCTTCTGCAGGCTCTGCATTTGTCTCAAATCCTTTGCCTTCATATTTAAAATAAATCACAGAGACAGAGGCGCTTGTGTCCTTCCAGTCGTCACATCTCTCCCCAGACGACTGGCCTGCATCTGTTATTTATCATTCCTGTGTACTTCTCAGTTGATAGCCCAGGCTGGCCTGGAACTAACCACGTATACCAGACTGGCCTTGGACTCGCGGAGATCCTCCGGCCTTTGCCTTTTGAGTGCTGGGATTAAAGTCCGCATGCCTGGCCCCCACTCGCTTTTAAAATACAGATTCACAGGCTGGAGAGATGGCTCAGTGGCTAAGAGCACTTGTTGCTCTTGCAGAGGTCCTGGATTTGATTCCCAGCACCCACCTGGTGTTTCACAACCGTCTGTGACTCCAGTTCCAGGGGATTTGATACCCTCCTCTGACCTCCACAGACACCCAGCACACATATGGTGCACATCCAGGCAACATCTACACATAAAATAAAATGTGCGTTCATAGGGATACTTTTTTATTGTTTAGCTGCTTTCTTCGGGTATCATTTATATGCCGCCACAGTGACCCATTGTAGCCATAGAGGTCACTGGCATTTGTAGTAGCTGTATAGGGCTAAATAGTCATCACCCCAGTCCAATTCTGTAACATTTCCATCCCCCCATTTGCTATCAGTATCCCTCTCCTTGCCCTTTACATGTTTAACTGCCAACCCATCTCAATCTTGTCTTTGATGTTTTGAAACTGTAAAAGTCTCGCCCTGTTCAGAACTATGTTAATTAGGAAGCCCCAGCTCATCGCACAACACTCCATCTGTGGCCGTTTCCCTCCGCCCTCCAGGTCCTCTTCCTACTGGGGACTCGGGGCTGTTCTTCCCGGCAGTTAACCTGGCTGGAACTGTTGCTGCGTCTCATCCCAGCACAGGAACTCTGCTGGGTCTTGGAGTGTGTGCTCAGCTCTGCATGTCACCACAGGAGCCACGTCCCTGGGTTCCCCCTGCTCTGGGTCTCCTCCAGTCTCTATTGTCAGATTTTCTGGTTGGTGTCATTGTGCTTGCTGCACAGTAGTGTCCCGTGATAGTGCTCCTTAGTCTCTCCCTGCTTGCTAATGAGGTCAAGTGGCATTTTGCGCCTTCGTTGGCCAGCTGAGGTTCCCTCCTCTGTGAATTGCCTGTTTATCCTTTGCTGCTGGATCAGTGTGTTTTGCCTTTTATCTTCTCTTGATGTGAAAGGGTTATACATCTGGGATACTAATCTTGCAGGTGGTTAGATTAATGCTCTCGGTTTCCCCTTGAGGAGACTGTAGGCTCAGAGAATCCCAAGTATGTGCAGGGAGAGACTCCATGGGAACTGAGCTAGGCGTGTTTGTCCAGGAAACAGAGGCAGCCTTTGGGGGGGTCCCCACCACAAACCAGGGGGTTCGCTGTTGCCAGATCTTCTGAGATGCTGGGGTCGTCCTATTCTCTCCTCCCTCTATTCATTCATTAACCCTTGTCACTTACTCTATAGAAGCTCTCTGTGGATCGACCTCATAGAGCGAAAGATTGTCAGGCTGCCCCTCCTTAACTGATCAGGTACCCGGAGCCTGGGAGTGACGGTTACCTGATGAGTCAGTGCGTACCATGCTGGTTATCCTGTGAAACCAGAGCTGTCCTCTGTATTGTGTGGCGGTCCCCAGATGCTGAGCTGTGGCGTGTAAATCTGCTACCCATGTATATACACAGCCACTTCCCTCCTCTGCCACCCCTTTTATGGGAACCCTCAGAGCAGGGCCGCCAGTGAGAATGTTAGAGACAAGCCAGCCTGGATACAATCTCTTTGTGGCAGTAGGCCCTACCTTGGCTTCTGGCTTCGTGGGCTAGGTGGCTCCTCCTGAGAAGATAGTGTGAGAATTCAAAGGTGCTAGAATTCTGCTGGAGAAAACTGCCAGCGACTAGCACATTTCTTATC